GTCGGATACAGTGGCTAGGTAGGAAGGTTTATGAGTAAATTAGACTGATTTCTTGAATAACCGCACGGACGCTACACGAGGACACTTGAAGTAAGCAAATTTGAATTTCAGGGGACTCGAACCTGGAATTTGTCACCACAAATAGGGATGATGGCCATCGGAGATAACGCTTGCCTTTGAGTGCGGTAGCAACTACAGACGTCTTCATAAGTCGGGAAAGTAATCAACAAAAACCCAAAAGTAGCCTTATGAAGAAAATTTCCATGACTAGTCGCATCTTCGCCAAAATCCTGTTCAGGATAATTAAACGTCCGTCAGATGTTTGTCGCGATTTTAGTAGAAGAAAAACCAACACATTACTCTGCTAAAACACGTCATAAAATAGCGCGACGTGGGGCGCGCCATCAGAGTCTTACCGTGGCTGACGACTGGCGATAAGCGGACGCCTTGGCAGTGAGTGTCTGCGGCTGCGACTGGTGGCTGTCTAGACTGTCGGCGGAGATGTTGGCTGTCAGCAGGGTGGCGTTGTCGTCGGTGGAGGCCTTTGTCGCGCTCACCAACTCGTCGGGTTCACAGCTGGCTCTAGAAATCGCACCGGTGGACAATAAAAGGCAACGACTGAGGCGGGCGACGCGCAGCCTGGTCGTAAAAAGGCGTGATTAAGAATTGACGATAAGCTGAACTTGGGCAGGTTTGTCGCAGGTGCTAGGATGGTGGGCGTTGAAAAGGCGCAAACGTATGTGCTATTTTTGGAATCACGATTCGTCAGGGTTCGGTTTTTCATATCTACATAGCTAAACACGCCCAAATGCTGTCTGTTGCGTGAAGCGAGATGGAAAGAACATGCAGATCACGACAGGATTTCCACATTTTAGCAATGCTTTCAACCAATCCTGTCTCATCATCTTTACACCCTCATAAGGTGAGGCGATGCTTAACTAGCCACGGCTGCCGACAGCGAATGTTAGCCGTGGGACACCGGTAGGAATCTACCCAAGAAACGCGTGTAAAGCACACTGAGAAGCGACATTTCATGTGAAACAAGATGAAATTGAGACCCGAATACTTAAAAGAAAGTGCTGAACCATCACGTATATAATTTTGCGTTACGTCAATAATTTCAAAGAATTGTGCCGCTTTTTTTAAAAGAAATCCTGACTTTATCGCACTGCAAAAAATGCAAACTGTTTCAAATTTCAGTGCTACACATGGCTTGAATCACTCATATCCCTTTGTTTAGAATAAAAATCAACCTATGCTGATCGCGTCGACGCTTCATGACGCATTCTAATGACCATTCGTATTATCGCCTTCTGATAATAAACCTTGACAAACGCGATTGGTTGAAACACGGGCTAGTCCACAACAAACCAACCGACAGTGAGACCCTTGTCTAAGCGGTTTCTTGCAAGCAGCCAAAATTACAAGCTTCAAACAAAACCATTGAAGTCAAACAAACTATCTTCACCTAGCTCTCTGATTTACCAAAAATAATTCCTCATTCCTACCTGTAATTAACTGGTTGCGAATGCACATTATTTGCAGATTTTAGTTTTAATCAAGCGTTTGTAAATGCGCGCTTTTTAAATACACTCAGTCAAACATTTATGGACGAAGCACTATCACAAGTGTCCAAGCAATAGCGAAGCGCATCAAAAAATCTTCGTACTCGTCAATGGCAGGGATATTAAATCGGTTTTATTAAGACTTCGTTTTTAAATAATGGGGAGTTTACAAGCTCACATTCGGTTGATGGTGTGAGCCGAAATCGCAAAAAAATCCCAAATGATGTCGGCATGGCAGTGGAAAAATCGTCAAAAGTTGCTGAGTGAAGTAAGCGGATTTCGCAACATTTGTGAAACTGTGTTACCGCGCCGGCAGAATGACACCGATTGGAATAATCTGCCATAACACTCGTAAAATCTAGCCGCGTTTAATCCACAGCAAATTTCAGCAGCTACGTCTTAGATGAGATTCAGAACCACGAAGTGCAGGCTGTCATCTACGCTCCACTGCATCCGCAAGACCATTCAAAGACCTGCTTCCATGGTTGATTACGTGCATCGCCTTCAGCTGATTGCTGAAGAAACTCCACTTGTCGTCTCACATTTTTCTTGAGAAAGAAACCCAATGCAGATCGCTAGACCCCAAATTGTTTTCTTTAATCAACTCACATGGAAATCGTCAATTATGCCAGTCGGACTTTGTGTACACCTCAATATCACCCTCTTCGCTAGCTCTTGAGGCGTTTGACTGAGATCAGCCTCTCTCAATTGGTCAGCACAGTGTCCGTGTCACATCCAATCAGCGCTTCGCATTGTGACTAATCGTGAAGATCGTGATCATCCGTGGGATAGGCCGGGTTGATGGTGCTTGTGGCCCTCGTGTGGCATTGTTACCACGACGAGAGATTCGAAGGGCCGCATATCTCATAAAATGTATCGTTTCAGTCATTTTATTGTGTATTTTGCAATGAAGCACACTCAAACGTTTTCAAGGATTCACAGTAACGTGAGTCACGAGTGGGCTTAAAATGTCAAACTGCTTTAAAAACGACTAGACAGGAATTGGTAAACGCCCAACCCAGAAGAATTACGCCAAGCGCAGTAGAGCCATAAATTGAGCACGTGGGTTTAGAACACAGCAATTTGGCTACATGAGATCAAAGCGGTACACGAGAATGCTGCCAGTTGTAACCATCGTACGGCCATCGGAGATCGTCGAGATTACTTGGTGGGAGGAATCAGATGTGGACTTACTCGTCTGCCGAAATGTTGTGTTTGGTTGCGTCCAGAAGCGACGCCTCTGCCGGGATTTCGGCGTTGGAGGGATCCAGCGACGCCGCCAGACATCCGATGCTGCCGCTGGTCGACACCTCGGCGGGGTTTGCAGCGACGAGCGTGGAAAGCGAGGGCGAGGCCCCCGAGTGGCGAGGCGTACTGGAAGCACCCTCGGCGTCTCCCGCCCAGCTTTGGTTTGAACGATTCGAGTGCTGGAGGGACTCTTGCCAGGCCTTCAGCTGCCTCACCTGCGTTGAGGAAAAAGAGGCATCACCAGCCAGGTCATTGATGCCCGCAATGCATTCATGATACAGAACTTCAGGCAGCGCGCACACACACGCATTTGCGTTCCATGGCTTTCTTTTAAACAAGTGATTGCGGGTGATTTTAGTACAAACGAAGTCGGTTATGAGAAAGCCAGAAGTGAACAAGTTGTTGGAGTTACAATTTTTGTTGAAAAATTCTTGCGCAAGGCGGAAAGAAAACCACAAATTGATTGCTTAAATTACAGGAACAACCAGACATAGTAAGACGGTGATCGCATCATCGCCTATGACGTCTTGACGGCGTGGTGTTTGGTGAACTAAGGCAACTACGAGTGATCAATCAAAGTGGCGCCATTCTCGGGCAGTTTAATGCATTTTTATACGTCAAAAAAGACCAAGTCGACGTCAGTTCACGGCGCTCCTTTCAAATTATTTCCGTTTGTCTAGACAAACAAAAAAGGGGACTACGGGGACGTTTGCGTGGTAAAAGGAGCCGCACCTCCCTAGCCAGACGTCGGATGTCGCCAGCCTGTCTGCGGCGGTGCTCCTCCTGTCTGGCGGACAATTCGCGCATCGCCTGAAGCTCCCGACGCAGCTCCTGCAGGTCCGCCTCAAGGTGCTCCGGGTTGTGTGCGTGGAAGGGATCTAGACAAACAAAAGACACGTGGAGCATGGCGATTTCGACACGACTGCCGATGTCTAAGTGGGTGCTTGTGTGGGCTGTGAGGACATTCTCCAAATCCTGAGAGGCAGTGGGGGTCCACAGTTGTCTCAGTACCACCAACGCTCGAATTACACCTACTTGAGTGGACTTAGTAACAATCTAGCGTCAGCCAATCACGATCGGGTATTGGGAGTGATCACAGAAATGTAGCATTTGACGCGCAGCTAACCGCATGCTCAAATCCCATGAGTTTACAAGTAGGGGGCGGGCACAATTGTTCCCACACAGTCGCGACGCTTAATAGCGCTTCTGCTACCTTGGTGAGATTCCAACGATCTAACCTCAACTGCGACCAATTTAAAAACGAGAATATCCAAGATTGAAAGCCTACAAATTGCGGCAATCACTGTTAAGGTCAACCATTCACGCGGTGGCAATATTCTTTAAAAATTTTGCCTAAGTGTATCATCCATCGACGTTGGAGTCGTGGGGCATCGAATAACTCTTGGTGCGAATGGCGGATAATTCATTTCTTCGTGGAGTTATCGATCCTGTTGTGAGAACCGAGGATTTTGATGTGAATCGTGTTTATTCACACCCCTTAATCCGGTCGCCCTTAGCCTCCGACACAGGGTTCCCCCTTTCTCAGCATGTCGCCAGCCACGCGGATCCTCAACTTCCCCCTCATTCGCACGGATATTTATTGTGGAATATCCCCACACCCAGGTCTCGATGTTAGCGCAGGTATGACTCGCACATCCGAGGTATAAATGCACACGCGCAAACCCCACACTCGACACAACGACACCAACGTGGTTGAGCTCTGAAGTAAACGGTTGTGTACATGTCTTCTTTAGTCTTCTTTTTCATCATGGGTATCAGGTAAGCGTAATCGGGCCAGGGTTAATTCAGTGGCCCCGGCGTGGTTCAAGGCCAAATGCTGGGGCCCACAATAACCCCATTCGGACGGTTTTCTTCTATGATAACACACCAGTGACAAATACACTCCTTTGTATGCATTTACGACCTGAAAATAACACGTAAACAGCCACGGCGTTCCCAGCAAGACAACTAAATTAACACACAATCACAACTCTACAGTCGGGCTACGTCGCTGGTCATGTGCTAACAACTCACTAATCATTGTTAATCGATTTAAACTCATCCACCCAAGATCACCCAGTTTAGACCTTAACGTTTGCTCGAACACTTTGCTGATCTCTGTACACAAGGTCTTGTTATGTAGTGGGAGAAAGCTGGTCACCAAAGAGTCAACAACGAATCAAAACAGTTCTTTAGAAAAACAACCAATCAAAACGGTTATTAAGAAGAACAACCAATTAGAATTGTTTTTTAGAAAAAAACAACTTGCCTACAACGAAGGTGCGCTCCGAGCGTAGGCTGCAATCCTCACACACCGTTTGAATAGACCTTTAAGAAAAAAGACAAAGTGTTAGTTCCCCGGGGTGAAACGAATGAAGTTGAACAGGAAACGGTTCTCACTTGCGGTTCAAGTTGTCCTCGTCCATGGAGAATCGTGAGCAGAAATCTCTAGAAGCGGCGGGGCTGTCTTCGTTGTCGTCAGCGGAGCTCCGAATCTCTGGTGAATCTCTAGACAGAGTAGATGAAATTAGGTGAATTGTGGACGTACGCGAAACTCGATGGCGGCCGATCCACGCAGGAAATGGGCTGCAATTCCTGCGACAGTGCCGTCAGACTCTTGAGGAAGTGAGTGGAGAATCTCAGTTGGCAAGGTGTTGATTCGTGGGGACCATCGCCCCGAGCACTGCGACAAGACGTCGGAAGGGACGTGGAATCGCTGAAGGCCGCAAAAGAGGAAACACAATAGCTACTGAATTTTGTAAGTAATCTTTATATTTGAGCCAATTTTTGACCTGCCTGCTTGATCGGAATTGTGACATGTCGCCAAGACCGGCCTCATTCGCAATAGGCACGGCGATTTGGTGACGAACTTCCGACGCCTCCTCACCAACAGCCGACAACTCGAGGGAGAGATCGTCGACAGATGCTGTTTGCACGACATGTTGTGGCACCTCCTCGATGACGTCGATTGGAATAAAAATTGAGTCGGAACGTAGAATCTTTGATGCGTTTGTCCATGCTACAGACGAACTGGTTTCAAGAGGTGCCGAATAAGCTCTTAGTAGTTAGAAGGAACTTGTATAAATGACTTGCTACTTGTTACTGACAAGTAGCCAGAGCATACTTGGCCGCATTAATGGCGAACAGACTAACCTTCCATTGCTATTTTTGCCCGCCAAATGGGCACAAATCGCACCACACGATGCTGAGGGAGGCATCTGTGACGACAAGAAGTCATGAACAGTTGCACGAGGTTGATCAGTTGGGCATCTGTCTTCAGTCTCCCTTTTACCCACAATCTAATGAAATGAAAACAAACCTGTAGCTGGTTTGCGTACTAACAAATTATAAGTACTAAACGCAATTTAACATAACTTACTGGTGTTGGATGGGTACCACCGCCAAAGCTGGACGCTACAAAACAAACATGCCGCGTTGAAATCCACATCGACTGAATGGTCGATAGTAGACGGCTAAGACTTACACCGCATTGCTCGCGAATTCCGCGGTTTTGGCAGACAATTAGGAGTGGATATCCTCCACGAAGAGTCGCTTGACGGCTTTGATCTGACCGTTCCTGTGTTTGCACAGGAATTCAGTTTGGGTTCAACAGGTGGTTGCAGGAGCTGCGTTTTACCACTACCATTTGCCTATAAAAAAGATATTGAGAAAGAGCCTAGCGTTATTTGGGAGGAAAGGGTTAAAAAAATATAAAACTGGATTTCAGCTTGCAAATTAATAAACAGATTGTTAGGTAATAACGTCTTGCCCGACAGCAACTTACATTCAAGCTGAGATTGTGAAGAAAATCAATGAGAGCAGTCTCGTCGGTAACATCAAACAACTGAACGCAACCACACTCCACGAGCCAATCGCTTATCGATCTAGAAGTGGAATTGAGTCAAATGCACTTTACTTTTTACCTACCTTTCATCTGGTGTCAGCTGCAGTCCGTCTATAAAACGAAGACTTGGAAGCAGAGCAACGATGTAGCTTCGACTATGAGGTATTCTTGGAAAAAGTGAGTAAAGAATTCAACAGCAGACACATTGAAGCAAAAATTGGAGGCGAACAATACACACAAATCATCGATTTTGGAAGCACTCAGATAAACATTTTGACGAACAAAAAAGGCTTCATTAGTGACGGCGTCTGAAGCAATTACAAGTTGCACAAAACAGGAAAAAAAGGATACAAATGAAAGGCGCATGCATTGCCCTGTAAGGAGATCTGGAGGAGAGATCTACAATGCGAAAGCGATTTGACCTGAATATGGAATTAATTTAAAAGCCAAGATACCTCTGTTAAAGCACAAAGGCGATTTTCTGCCAATGACAGAATGCACAACGAACTAGGAAGGAACTCGCTCGCCGTTTCTAAACTTTTTATTTTATTGCAATGAAGAAGCAAAGTCTAAAGCAGAAAATGCAGTTGTAAAACAACGCTAACCTTCAATTTTGTCAATTTGGAAAGGTCCCCCAAACAATCTATCTCGTTTTCTGACAAATCCAAGTGTTTTAATGCCACATTGGCCGAAAGATTTTCAATTTTCTAGTTATGTTAAGATCCAGAGTAAAATAATTACACGAATTCGGTTTCCACACAAATTAAGCCAGGTTAATTGCGTCAGGGTCCACAGATCTACGATAAGGCAACACAAATAATCTAAAGAAGGTAAACCCACGATCAATTTTGGATATATCGTTATATGCAAGATTAAGAATCGTAATGCAGGTAAGATTGTCAATTCCCCGCATATCGTGTATTAAATTATTAGCGATAGAAAGCTAGAATGCGTTGGTTAGGGGAATATAATCATCTAACTTGTTGAATTCTCGTCATAAAGGAAATTGTATTTATATCACGAATATCGTTTTTATCGAGTATAATTGAAGTTGCATTTTCAAAGGAAGAGTCAAGTGCTCGAAGTCCTTGTTCGGCAAGGTTTAGTATTGAAGAACACATGTCCGAAATGTCAAAAATCGCACCAAAAATTACAATTGATGGGCGTAACCAATAGCAACTGGGAATCATCAATAAGTGAATTTGTCGACTTCTGACCCAGTTAATAAAATCTTAGTTATAAAAATGTCTACGGATAGTTTTAGTAATAGGGATAATACAACAACTGAAGTTTCATTAATGAAGCATTTCATTCTAAAAATTGGAAGAAAAAGAGGGTTCCAAGGAAATGGAATAGAAAAGGGCATTTCCTTCTAAAAAATAAACAGAAAAATAGATTCATTAATCCTACTGCAGGGAGATATTTGATTTATCAAAAAAACGTCGATTTGAAGTCAAGATTTAAAGAGATTGTAAAGCAAGCCCTGAGTAATTTCACAGATTTTTTTTGCGAAATTTCCCAATAAGTGATTTTCAAACTTATGCTGTCATGAATATTAGAGACAGTAAAGTCCAAAATTATGGCTTTAAAAAGTTTCATATTTCTAACTCTTTGGGCTAATTAGCTGCCTTTATCTCTCCACATCCATTAATATACCCTCTATCTACAGTCATTGATGTTGATGTATATCACCGCTCCATTGCAAATTTTGACTCCACTTCATCATTCCAATATCAGACCCTTATGAATTCAGCATGACCAAGATATTTTATTAAGAGTTACAACTATTTTCAATGTCCTCCAAAATTTTGTATTAATATATGCACGAAATATTATGCTCATATGCGCTGTCATGAGTTTTTGGACTTTTTTAAAGTTAACCCTGACATGGTTTTATGAATCACGCCCCGCATCATAAAAATTGGACTCATGTAGTTCGGGGAGAATGTGAAGCAATCTTATTTTGTCTCTGTTATAATGATGGCAAGGGTAATGGTGAGAATTATGTAAAGGCTATGATTGATAATAATCGCGATTTTGCATCTGCTTAACAGCAACCTTAGCCAGAAAAAAACCAAATATTTTGAAAAATGTGCTAAATATGGAAAATTAATCAATCGCAGAAAGGAGTAGCATTCGATAAAATGTGGTCTACGGCAGTAACTTAAAGAAATTTGCTTACGAAGTTACAACCAATTAATTTTCAAAAACGTTAAATTCTTGTATAGTAGGTATCCTTGCATGTATTCCAGTTTTAATCCTTTACTCTTCGAAATCAGGAGAAACAACGCGGCAAATTCCGGCATCGAATATTTTCAGGCATTAGGGTGTTTCCTGTTATCGTCGTAGAAAAGTTTAGCTGCTACTTAAATTTGAGATTACATGCATAGCTTAAAGCGAGGTAGCAGAGTCTTGATAACTAGATATCCATCCCAATGTGCCCATGCCATTTAAAAATACCATTTGAAATTAAGTAACAACTATCAATGCAATATAATTATTTAATTTAATTTGTTAAAAAGCAAATAAGTCAGTTCAGTAAACTCTAATTGTGAGGTTGGGCTTAAAAAATGCATTTGTAAAGTTCATTTAAAATAATTTTTGGCCAAGATGAGCCATCTGACAACGTCAAAAGTCGGTATTCTTTTTAAAACTTCCTATTCATATAGGATCACGTAAGTCAAAGTCTAGCCAAGCAAAACAACCACAGGAGAGTTAATGCCTTCGAATTACAAGCCTCCTTTATCTAGGTTTTCATTTATAATGTTTTAAGTTTAACGATGTTACGCAACCACTTGAACTACTGCTTGGCATCTTACGCGTAAAGGACCCCGTCTTCAGCAAAAAAATATGTACGTGCCACTGAAATCAATGATTCGGTGGACAAGTTTTACTCACACCTAAATGCCACTCTTCTTTCTTTTCGCAGGTTAATAAGGACTGTAAGTTATTGATAACCATGCCACTGTAGTACCGTCTTGTAATGTAATGGGGATAATGAAAGTTTGGTGGTTTTGTTCTGTGACATTTCTGAGCTGGCTTCTTCAACTGCTTGGTAACAAATCGCAGGTCACTGTTTAATTGGATATTTCTCTGTTGTGCTAATGGCATTTAAGGTGACACTAGTGCGGTCAGGGCCTACCCAATCCCATGCGAAATCATCCGCATATTCTCGGACTAACTTGTGAAGCTGAGTGAGAATTGGCCTTGGTCTCTGTTTGGCTGCAATCTTCCGCCCAGGCAAATTCAAACGCGGTAAGACGAAGAATTCGTTGAGCCTCTCGTGGTCCAATATGTCTGCGCCCGTATATATACGTCACTGAAGAATACCCGAGCGCCAATAAGAAGACTGGCACAACAGAACAGGCTTTATTGACCGATCACAAGCCAGAACCACACATCAGACGCCCTCCGTCGAAGTCCGCCACATTGGCAAAGCCGCTTATTATATACTGCTCCTCGTTCGTGTCCTTTACTGGTTGGCTGCTCATCATCCTCCCATGCCATTGGAACGCACAGGGACACAGGCTTGGCTGAGGCCAGGTGGTCCAATATGTCTGCGCCTTGATAAGCCGCCACACTGCTTTCCCCTCAGGAGTGAATCTGTCCTCAGCTTCTGCCTTGGGTCTTCGCACTGTTCATTGTTGGTAAAATATTCAGTTCGACACTCCCCGCACCCCACATCTGGCAGGATAGTGGCCCATGAAAACAGTTGACAAGGGACTTTGCTCTTGTAGACTTGCAGGAAGGACTCTTTATCCATCGTAGGGCCATTCGTAGTTGCAGTCCAGCTAGCTTTCACTGTCCAAGTCGCCGTCAATGAGTTGCCAATGCCTCTTCAGATGCAGTAGTCCTAATCCCGGGCAATGTCTATGGATCCAGTTTATTGGACATAGGATAACCACCATGACAATTTCAGCTGGCATTCAAGGGTCTTTGCCTCTGTTGACAATAGGAGAGAAAGGGCTGGGGTTCGATTCGCGTTATTCGAACGCATCCGCTGCCACCAATGTAGGATACCCGAGCCCTAATATGGAAAAGACGGGTACAATAGAACAGGCTTTATTGACCAATCAGAAGCCAGAGCCACACATCAGGCGCATTCCATCCGAGTCCACCACGCTGGCCACGCCGTGCATTATATACAGCATCTCCGTCATGTCCTTCTCTGGTTGGCTGCCTTCCTTTCCCGCATGCCATTGGATCGCAGAGAGACACGGGATTGGCTGAGGCCAGGTAGTCCAACATGTCTGCGCCCTAATCCGACGCCACTGTAGAATAACCGAGCCCTAAAAGGTAAAAGACCGGTACAGCAGAACAGGCTTTATTGACCAATCAGAAGCCAGAGCAACGCGTCAGGCACCTTCCATCCGAGTCCACCACGCTATCCTCGCCGCTCATTATATACTGCATCTCCTCCATGTGCTTATCTGGTTGGCTGCCTTCCTTTCCCGCATGCCATTGGATCGCAGGGAGACACAGGATTGGCGGAGGCCAGGTGGGCCAACATGTCTGCGCCCTGATGCCTCCGCCTCAGCAGTGAAGCTGCCCTCAGCTTCTGGCTTGGTCCACCGCACTGTTGTTGATATCCAATGTTGATAAAATATCCAGTTCGACACTCCCCGCACCCCACATCTGGCAGGATAGTGGCCCATGCGAATAGTTGACGAGGGACTTTGCTCTTGTAGACTTGCAGGAAGGACTCATTATTA